CGTGTGCGTCTGCCCCGCCGGCAGGCTGAGCACTGCTGGAACTAATCCCTTCGATGTTATCAGAACCGTAGCCCCAACCCCCTACACCACTGACCTGTGCCTGCTCAGTCCCGCCATAGGCTACAAACGCAGACTGCTGGGAGTCCGGGTTGTTGTGACCCTGCTCGGTTGCAAGGTACTGCGGATGGGAACCGCGGCCACGCAATGCTGCAGCTATGTTTCCGGGTGCATGTTCTACTATATGTCCCATTCGACGGAGCTGGGTTTTCAACACTTGGAACTCATCTTCAGTGTTAGGGAACCGTCCTTGTAGGGGCAACAGTAACTGCATCAGCTGTGAGTCGCTCACCTCACATGCGCGTAGCAAGATGTATGCCAGGCCTGTTACCGACATGGTGAGTTGACCCAAATCGAAAGAGCGCTGCCGGATTAGATCAAAGCGAGTAATCAGTTCATCTATCCGTTCATTTCCGAGCCGTGCGAAATTGAAAAGATCAGTGATACTGGTCAATCTCAACTCTTCGCCAAGATCAGCAAATCTCTCAGCTAAAGCGTGCATTATGTATGTCAGGGGATCTACTTGGTGTCCGTTTATTGCCCCTCCATGGAGAAGGGTCATGGGGGGAATTGTTCTGCAAAAATCATACGCGGTCCCTTTGAGGCTCATGGTCAGCAAAGCGGCCTTTCTGGATGGATCACCATCCGCTGCGATCGACCACGTGAGGACGTCCTGAGCCCAATGTCGGAAAGGATAGCGATGGGCCATGTCTGGAGACCATGCCGGGGGCATGCGCGGAACAGCACTGCCAGGTATCATGTGTGCAAAAGCAGAGCCCCAACCCACTAGGATTAAACCGAAAGCTATGACTGCTAGAACCTGAGGCTTATTTAAACCACCTATTCCGAGATTAAATAAACCTGGGGACCTAGCTTCAACCTTAGGGTTGTGGGTGAGTTCGGCTGCAGGCTCAGCATCTCCTGTCACAGGCACAAGGAGTGCGAGAACACACAACAACAACAGTGGTGAGCAAGCACCGCTCATGGCTTTGCCTACCGTCTCCAGCGTCCCCAACGCGGCCTTTAACGCTTCAGGAGTGGATATGAGGAATGAGCCGACTCCAGGGCTACATCCCTCATTTCCACTCCCNNGAATTCCGAGGTCTGTAATGGGGTTGTTTGCGGCATCCACGCAACGTTTCGGCCATGTCCGGTTCATCGTGAATCGTAACGTCGTCTGCATACGGGAACCATACGTCGGCCAATTCCGGTGTGTAGGCAGAGTGCGCATCGTGGTAGAACAGGGCTCGGTAGTTTGATGGTGCCTCATACTCTTGATTGTCCAAGTTGTATAGTGCTTGAGGGTCGCGATGATGCTCCGGAAAACTGAAAATTGTACCATCACCAGGCTTGGGCTTTCCACACCACCACGATCGAAACTGGGCTGCACCCTTGCGCAGCATCTGGCGCCTGAGGCGCGATGAGGCCACCTCCCATCTAGGCCCTGGCAACGGAGCCGTAGCTCCGCTACCAAGTCCGAAGACGAGGAGTAGCGAAAAGCAGAGCAATACCGATGGCTTCATTTGTTCACCGCTGGGGCTTGGTAAGAGATCTCGGGCAGCTGCTCGGCTACGAACACATCCGCGACTCAAGTCAGATGCAAGACAGCTTCACTCTACAGGATACCTAACAAGTAGGGTTTAGGGTTTAGGGTTTCGGGTT